TTTAGGGAAGCGGTTTCCCGCCACAGGTGAAAACGGGTGGCCGGGTCGCTACCTGCCCTTTGCTCGTTACTGTATTTTGTAGATCTGGGCTTGCCGGCTGTTGCCGAAGGGCTGCCAAGGGAACGAACATGTTGAAGGAGACAGAGAGAGGAAAAGACTAAAGGGACCATTCCGTTGCCGGGAAACTGATTTCTTGTGCATTTGTGGGGGTCCTCCGCCTCCCCCCACCCACCCCCGCTGCCTTTTTACAGGGACGGGAGTGAAAGCTCCCTTTCGCCATAGAAAGAAATTGGTAATTCCTTCTACGAGTATGTTAACTTGAAATTTAAAAAGAAAGAAAGAAGGGGAGAAAGCCATGGAGAAAGCCAAACATTTCCTATGGTTGTGGCTGGGTAACGATGTGACCATCCACTCAAACAAGACTTGATGCTTTTTAGAACTCGGATCTTACTGCGTGTGGAAAATGTCGTGTATGGGGGTTGTCTTTAAGTGGTTAGAAAATGTCTTGCCACTGCAAGTTCCCCTTATACAAAAACTCTCTGAAGCAGGCCTTTTCTGTCGTAGCCCCAACCCTCTGCAATACCCTTCCAAAGGAGATTTCGCAATGATGCTCCATCTCCTAAAAACTCGAGTTGGAGTCCTGAGTGTTACCCTGTTCAAGAGGTGACTTGCTATTTTAAATGACGGTAACAATGTATTTATTGTATTCTGGGTCTTTTAATGTACTGTTTTATTTATCTACTCTATTTTTATTTTATCGTTTCAGTAGGCCAGTATATACACTTTCTCAATAACTGGGGGGCTGGGGTGGAGAGTGGCTTAGGAGAACCCTGTTCATATAGTACCTTGCTAGAGGTAGGGCTGAGTAATTTGAATTTCCACCCTGCCTACTGTGACCTCTGCTGATCGACTATCTGGGTATAGATGCCCGTTTGCATTTTGACAAGACAGAAAATTCACCATCCTACTTTTTCAAGGAGGTAACAAAATATATAATACAACTAAATAGTTGGCAATGGGTTTTTAATATTTGAGACAGGGTTATTAAACCTTTGCTGTCACACTCCTTAAGCATGGCACATGCACAGAGAAGCACAGCTAAGAGAAAAAGCCTCAGATACATGGGGCTAAGCTATTAAGAAAACAAGTGAGATAAAGTTGATAGATATTTGTACTTCAGACATAAGCAGTTTTTTTGTTTTAAGCAGCTAGAATGTTGGCAATAGGAATATGGCTAGAAGTAAAAGTTGGAAATTTTTATAAATGTTTTCAGATAGGGTAATAACTAAAAAGGTTTCCTTGAAAACTGTTTATTGTATAAGTGGAGGAGGTAGAACTACAAATATGTTAAGAATCAAGGTTACTCTTCTAAAGAATTATGACTGGGTACTTTTGCAAGTCAGTTTATTGCATTCCACTGATAAGGTAAAATGTCAAAAGACGTAGTTACTGATGCTCTCACTTTCTTGGTACTGTCCTTATCTTGTAAACAAGTACAAGTAACAAATGTACAAGTAACAAATGTATCTAAATGTAAACAAGTACAAGTAACAAATGTATCCATTTAGTTACACAGGATGTACATTCTGTACCATTACTATTTATGACGTCTTTATTTTCAACCACTGTAGTGCTGCATTCTTGAGATGGAGCAAGGCACAATTATAAACAGTTTATAGAATTCTGCACACTTTTTCATGACACACAGTATACATTTTAAATCAAAGGAGGGATCCAAGGGCTAATTATTGCAGAGTGCAACATCAGCACATTAAAATGAATCTTAGAAGACGTAGCACAGTAAATTCGAAGTGAGGTGGGCCTTTTTCTGCCTGCTAGTCAGAAGCATGTTCCATTGTGTCCAATGTAAATGTGTGTAGGATTTGCATAGATAAGCCACTTCATTGTGTATATATATATTTGTAGAATAAACAACAGCATGCCAGTTCAAAAAAATGCTTCTTTTTCATGGGATTAACTTATGCTGCAAGAAAACTTAGTATTTTTGTCAGATAGAAAGCTTTGTTCACATAGTAAAAGGTGAACTTTTTTTTACATTCACACGGGTTACACAGCAGTAATGAAAACTTCAAAGGCTATGACTCCCTCCCCTCCACCAGCAGTAATGGGGCCAAGAGGAGTTTGGTTCCATTTATGAATACTGTAATATTATCTGCACCAAATAGAAAAGTGTGTGTTTATTGTAGAACACATGTGCCACTCCACATTCATGACCACACTTTCAGATTTTGAATTGTACATAAAAATTGTGTAGAGCAGACCTGAGGGGCAATGGAGGGGCTACTGAAGTGCAGGAACAAGTTTTGCAATTTTTAAAGTTATATTGCAACAATCCTAATTCACAACTATCCAGTTTCTAACATTAATAGTCCCTGCCTTAGTCATTAAAAGCAAAGCTTGATAATTATTTAATAAAATCCATGCTTTTAGAAAAACTTTGGTTAATATAGTAAAGATGAGACAGAACAAGCACAGATTAAACTTTTTAAAAATACTTGCTTGTTGCTTGTTCCTTTACAAGGATTTGGGGTTGCTTGTTGCTTGTTCCTTTACAAGGATTTGGGGTTTCTTTTTTTCTGTTTCTTTTAAAATAACCTTCAGTGAATAAACGGTTCATCTGGTATCAATCACTTTAAACATATACCGTATTTTTCGCTCTATAACACGCACCTGACCATAACACGCACATCGTTTTTAGAGGAGGAAAACAAGGGAAAAAACATTCTGAATGAAACAGTGGATGTATCATTTTTGTGCTTCATGCTGTGGCCACAGACATGTGATCTGATGGTGAATTTGGGGTGACCCAATGCAAAAATCCTGAGAATCCCTGTGGATTCATGCTTTTTAACCACATTTTTGCACCACTGCAGCCCCAGGCAACAGTGGGTGCGTGATTTTTGGGGGGCAGGCTGTAGCCATGGACATGCTATGTGATCTGATGGTGAATTTGGGGTGACCCAATGCAAAGATCCTGAGGATCCATGTGGATCCATGCTTTTTAACCACATTTTTGCACCACTGCAGCCCCAGGCAACAGTGGGTGCGTGATTTTTGGGGGGCAGGCTGTAGCCATGGACATGCTATGTGCTCTGATGGTGAATTTGGGGTGGCGCAATGCAAAGATCCTGAGGATCCATGTGGATCCATGCTTTTTAACCACATTTTAAGTGGGGAGGGAAGGAAAAACACAGAAGGGAAAAGGAGCAGGAGAGGGGTGTGCAGAGAAGCAGCTGGCTAAGAATGCAGGAGAGGGGTATAACGGGAGGGAGGAAAGCAAGGCAAAAGTTTTCCCCCACTCACCCACCCAAGCCAGCCGGCTTGTGCGCTCTCTCTCTCTCCCTCCTGCATGTTTTCACGGAGAGGAATTAGAATGAAGGATGCTCTCTTTCCCCTCTGCTTGCCTGGAGGGGAGGGGCTTTCCCTGCTCTTTGTTCCGTTTGAGCAAACACAGCAAGGAAACAGAGGACGGTGGGCAGTAAGACCCTGAGGCAGAATGCAGGAAAGCAGCCGCTTCCTCTTTTCAGGCTTCCCTTCTCCGAGAGGCGCGATTTGATTTTTGCCTGATTTTTTTTGCCTCCACTTGCCCCAGTCAGCTCCAGGGCCCACACATTCGCTCAATAACACGCACAGACATTTCCCCTCCCTTTTTAGGAGAAAAAATCTGCGTGTTATAGAGGGGAAAATACGGTACATGTGATAAATTGACAGATTGACAATAGATTTTTAAACATTGTCATGTTCATTGTTATACATACAGATATTGTATTAGATACCAGTAGTAAAACACTGCATGCTATTTGTAGAATAAAATGTGTTTTTAGTCAAAACAATTTTGTTTTGCTACAGTCTATTTAAATAATATTTGTGCATGGACACAGAGATTATGTAAATCTCTATATAATTGTGCAGATCTAGACACACTGGAACAAGCTAGTTCATACGTCTTGCTACAGTATTTTATTTGAGTGTTTGTCCTCCACAAAAATCTCCCTTCTTCTATTTGTACTTTGCATAGTCGGGGAAGGCACACTAACATTAGAAAGAGGAGGGGGGAAATCTCTGGAGACTTGCCTACAGTTTTGTACTACTCAACTCCCAGCATGCTTCCTGACACAACAAAGGTTTCTTCTTTCAAATCATGAAGGCTAAGGAATATCAGAGGACTTTCAGACAAACTGTTCCCAAATAGACAGGTAATAGGGAAGGTTTGCTGTGTGGCAAAGTATTTACCCATCCAATATGCAACTGCAAGGGTCAAAACCACACCTCTTGGAAAGGAAAGAAGAGTTGTTTTGCGATTTGAGAAATGATAGACCCACTTCAGGAAAACAGGAGCATAACAATGACAACATGCAGATGCTCTATAAAGTGTGCAATTCCACACTCAGTGCCTAGTATGGAAGCCCCCTCCCCCACCTTAATGTGCACATTATTATGCTATTGCCCCCTTGTTCTCTCTTCCCTCTTCTTGCTGCTTCTGGAAGAGAGATTCTCTCAAGAGAGAAATTCCTTCCCCGTGTACATACCCCAGTATCTGAGAAGTAGCAGCAACATCTTGTTAAGTCTTAGCAAGTTTTTAACATGATCAAGCAATATGAAGGCACTTTATCAAGAACACCACCTCTGAGCATACACATACCCCTTCTACAAGCCTCTTAGGTCCTCCCAAGACCTCACATGGACACTGTGAATCTAATCCAATCTCCAAGTCTCCTTGGAAGAAGTAGTTGAGGGCAGTTTCCTATTGTTTCTACTCCATAGTTTTTCCATGATCCCATAGTGAGCAAGGAACACTAATTCTTAGCCCTGAACTTTAAGAAGCTAGAAAGAGAATGAAATTAATTTTGCAGAATGTCTTTTAGAAACCATGCAACTAGAGACTGAAGCTCTGTTTCGGATCCAAAGGCTGGTGTTTCTACCCCACTGGGGTATATATTTTGAAAGAAAGCGGGTATATAGACCACAGAAGGCAAATGCAAGGTGTCAAAGTTTTTTGGGACATTCAGAAAGGTACAGCTTGTGGTTTGAAACTTGGAGGAGTAAAGGGTCTCCCCATCCATCTTGATTTCATGACTTTCTTCTCATACCTGCTGTTAAGTACCAAAGAGAAGCAGAATCTTGCCTACATATATGGGCTATGTTGCTTTGTATATCTCTTGATACTGCAACAGAAGGACTCAGATGCATAGCAGGATTGAAAACAGAATGTTAGTGAAATCTTAAGTATGCCCCTTGATTTGAACTGATCCATCAAAAGAAATCACAAGCAGTATTACTACACTTTGGGTTAAATAATGAAAATAGACAAATCTGATGGAAAACAGTTGCTTCACTACACTATAGAATATAGGATGGAATCCAATGGGTGTCACTGCACTAATGAAATGTACCTATCAAATGTGAGGTGGGAATTTTTTTGGCAACTACCCCTGAATGCCCTCGCCCAAATCTGGCATTTTTTATTCCCCTTGCATCCTGGCCAGATTTGCTCTGGAGGATACCCCAAGAAAAGATTATTGAGTGCTGAATTACAAAGAAGGAATTGCCATATACTGCTCCCCATTTGTGGAATGCTCTCCCCAGGGAGGCACCTTCATTATACACCTTTGGGCACCAGGTGAAAACATTCCTCCTCAACCAGGCCTCTGGCTGAATGACTGTCAATACCCTTTTAAATGTGTAGTGGAAGGGAGGATTATTGGTTTGTTTCTGTTTATATTTTTATCATGTATTTTGTGTTTTTTATATTGTAATTTTATGTTGTGAAGTGCCATCCAGTAAAGGCAGTATACAAATTTAATAAATAAATAAAATAAATTGACCCCCTACCCATTCTACTGATGGATGGCTTCCAGCAGCAGAGCAAAACCCGTTGGATTTCATTCAGTATATGTGATTTTATAATTACTAGTAACCTATTAAGAAAGATGATGTAAGAACCGTGTTTTTCACGTACACATGAATAATTAGCTTATCATTAGCTCAGCAGTTTAAATTATTTAAGAAATAAAGAGTTATAAGGTTACCATGATGCCAACCACCTTTAAAATACATGAAGCAAATAAATGAAGAAATGCAAGAAGGATTCCACTGCAGAGTTAAGCAAAAGTTGAATTGTCACTATTGCATTATGAAAAGACATTTTCATAGTTTACTGCAATGGTTTCCTGGGGATTAAAAGCTAAAGCTGCAATCTTACACAGCATTAGACATTCTTAAACCCATTGAAATCAGTGGTCTTAGGCATGCCAAAATCTGCATAGAATTTGTTTTTAAGAAGATCTAAAAAGCTGTGAATCCACATTGCAAACCCCACACATCTTTTTAAAGATTAAAAATAGTAGCTTTAAGAACATTAAGATGTTACTAATAATTCCAGATGCATGCCATTCCACCATTAGGTGAATCATGAAGTTGCTGGATGCATTATGAAAGGATTAGTTAGTAGAAGGGAGACATTTATTGAGTTCCAGAAATGCAGTCATATGTGTTTGTTTTAAATTCTCCTGACACACGCCCCCACTAGCATGTATTCTGATGACAAAAAGCTCCATGTTGTATGTGGAAGTGTGTTTTGAGACCATATAAAAATGGGTGAAAGGCATTTTTAAGCTATTAACCATTTTGTTTTAACCTTTACTACTTTGATAGCTCTCATTGTGGCTTTGCTTTTGAAGTACAATCATACGGTACATTCAATTCATAAACAGAAAGCTAACCTAGTTCTTATAAAAATAAATTCAATCTGATAAGAAAAATATCGGCCATTAAATAACGGACTCTGGTTCTTTTCTGGGTTTTTCATATGAGTCTGGCTCTGAGGTGCTTTTGATTTCCAGCATTTTCTCCATAGTTTTCCCATCCATTGGACTAGCTTTTTCTTTGGGTTTCTTCTTTTCATGCACCCATGGGATGAAACACAATACAGCTCCTCCGATCATTGGGGGAACTCCTGCTAGGTAGAATGCTACATCGTAAGTACCCAGGTGATCTTTAAGTATTCCTGAGGAAAAAGAAAATAGTATTCAGTATTCTGTGACAAAGTAACAGACCTGAATACAACACATGCAGACCTCAACTTCAGTATGTTATAAGAAGCAACATTGTTAATGGAAAAAATAGTACTGATCTGAAATCTCTTGAGAAAGTTACACAATTATACAAACAAAGGAAAAAAAACACACAATTCTACACTTTGAAAGCAATTACTACTTTCACATGCTTCCTACACAGATTAGAAACAAAAAAATTCTGCCTACCTGCAACAGGTGGACCAACTATCATTGGAACAGACATGAAGCCCAAGAGGAATCCAATTGCCTGGGAAACATACTGTGCACCAACTAGCTCAAAGGCAATTGGTGCCATAATGCTAATGAAGCAGCCATCAAAAAGACCCATGAAGAGGCAGACAGCAATGAGACTTCCAAAGGAGTCGCATAATGGAATCATCATAGACATCAGGCCAATGAAGAAAAATGAAATCACCTACACATTGGTAAAGGAAAGTGTAATTGTAAAATCAGAATAAAGGGGCAGGTTTCAGGGTACTAAATATTATGAAGCCATTCCAGATTTTGTTGTGGTTAAACAATTAAAACTACATTTATTCAAGGAAAGGTTTTTGAAACCTTGCAATAAAGGGAGCACTTCCATTTATTTTCCATTCATTTTCATTTGGAATGCTCTTTGAGTTAATTGTAATTTCTATAATTTATAATAATAGTTTTATGTAATAGTTTTCATTTCATTTTGTAAACTGCCTTGGATAATGATTTTGCATTTGAAGGTGACACAAAAATATTTTAAAGAAATAATTTCTTAGAACAAAATAATTGCAAGGATATTGCATTTCCCCACCATTTAGAGAGGCTATTTGCATACCATGGGCACCTACGGAACATTTTCTGAGACTCTTCCCAACATATAGTTAAAAGTTTAATTTTGTTATGTCATAAATATTTTTATTGTGTTTCACACTATCACAAGTGTGGCAATGTCCATGTAGTTCTATACGAATAAACCAGAAAAAGTAGCAATCAGCAACAAGGAAACACCTCTCATCTGCAGCAGTGACCTGCCAATTTATAAACTTTTGGAGTGAGGAGAAATTTTTTTTTGCCAGTTGTGTACTTCCCGTCTCTAGTACTAGAGCAAATGTTTTTAAATAAGTCTTATTTACCGTAATAAGGGAAAACAACAGCAGTGAAACTGAACATAACAACAACCCTGTATCAAGGCAATCCTCTCTAGAACTTACTTCACTCTGCTGGGGACTAGATATAGTGCATGTTTACTGTAACAGCATTCAGAAAACACGGAAGGATCATCATCATCATCATCACACTGAACTCACACATGCCAGATCAATTTCAACATTCAATCCATGGTATAATCTTGCAAGCTTGGTATCTGTCAGGCCAAGTATGGTGAAAGGTTTCATGTGCAATTTTTAAATCACTAACAACTTGCTGGCCAATTCAATATGTTTTAATAGTACCTTCTCTCAAATATATGCTTAAAAGACCAGATTCAAAATTCTGTGTTGTGCTAATATTAGGATATTGAATTTCAATATTTCTATTAAGCAGAGTCAATCACACTGGAGTTAATCTCTCTCTGCTCAGACTTGTCATTTCCTAACATTGAAACTTCAAAGAAGAATGTAGTTGGCTTCCCTTCCTGATATCTGCAAAGTCCTGTGAATCACTCATATGCACCCCTTCCTAATCACACAGGTGAGGAAATATTTACTTAGACCCTGATAGACAGAACAAAAGGATTTACTTGGATACCATCTCCAGCAAGTAGCCCTGCTGAGTCTTGAACATAAAGATATCCTTCTTTGCATTTTGATTTAAGTTCTCTGTGGGAGCCAAACTTCAAGAGAAACTATTGTTCCATCCTGTTAGTCTCCCTCTGATCCAACAGGCTTCCTGTCTGATAAGATTTTTCACAAAGGCAGACCTCAACATGCCCTGCACCGGATCATAGCTGGTTGGTCCTGACTACATGGATCCAAGTCACACATTTAGCCCCTAGCATTAAGTGGTGCCCATTTGTTTAGAGCCAATTATAACCATGTTCAAAAAATGCTTAATTGTCAATATTGCAAGCAGACAGCAATATTTTTCATCACCAGTGTGGTTCCTTAAAAAAGCACAATCATGTAAAAAATAATAATAGTTGTGCTTTTTAATTTTTACACTGAGCCAGAGCACATTTTTACAAGGTCATACTGAATGAATATTGTTCACAATATTATTATTTTGTAAAGAAACTATGATTGCCTCACTTCATTACTCAGCCAGCCATGCATTACTACCATTGTAGTAGGATTCATTGTAAAACCCCTGCCAAATAAAATGCTTTATGGTTTGAATGGTTTGGCATCAGGGAAGAAGGCAGAGTGCAAATAAATTACTATTACTACTACTACTAATAACAATGCACATTCTGGGGAATATCTCAGCATTCTTCCACTTGACATTCTAGTGCCAGGATTCTCAAGTTTTTGCTAAGCTTCGCTTCAGGGATATCACTGAAACTAGAGATATAACATGTACATATTGAAAGTCATTGAATGTGGCATAGTTATTTATTGAACATAACAATCACCCTTTCATACATAATCAAAGTAATGTCAGACTGGATCCTCAGACAGGTGAATATCTGAACCAGTCCAAGGAAATCAATTTTCAGGTTCAGTGGTACCTCAAGTTACATACGCTTCAGGTTACATACGCTTCAGGTTACAGACTCCGCTAACCCAGAAATAGTACCTCGGGTTAAGAACTTTGCTTCAGGATGAGAACAGAAATCGCGTGGCGGCACAGCAGCAGGAGGCCCCATTAGCTAAAGTGGTGCTTCAGGTTAAGAACAGTTTCAGGTTAAGAACAGACCTCCAGAACGAATTAAGTACGTAACCAGAGATATCACTGTATAGTAAAAAGTTTTCTTTAAATAAAATAAGAATATTCTATGCAATCACTAAAAATCTGTGGAACCACCACCTTCTCTTGTCATCACTACAGCAGGACTAAGTGATGCTGATTTTATGACCAAGCTGTGCGTCTACAACCCCTAGGATAACTGCTGCCAGACCACAATAACTTTGGTATCTATAGGGAACTGTAGGGCACTCTTCTCAACTTAATGACCCAAATTTTGCTAATCGCCATCAGTTAACTTTCATTAGTTTCAACAAAATGGCCAATGGTCAGATGATAGCAGTCGTGGGGAAGGCTACTTCAATAGGCTACAGCCACTTAAATTTCTCAGCATTATTCCCCTCAGCGATTCCAGTGGTTTGGAGAAGAGGCCTACTGGGTTATCAACACCATGACTTCTTATCACTGCTGTGCTTGGCAGAAACTTCTGCTTCTCCTTTGGTTGCTTCCTGTCACATAGGTTATAAAAAAGCACTCTGAGAAAAAAGCACACTAAGGGACACGGGTGGCGCTGTGGTCTAAACCACAGAGCCTAGGGCTTGCCGATCAGAAGGTCAGCAATTTGAATCCCCACAACGGGGTGAGCTCCCATTGTTTGGTCCCAGCTCCTGCCAGCCTAGCAGTTCAAAAGCACGTCAAAGTGCAAGTAGATAAATAGGTACTGCTCTGGTGGGAAGGTAAACGGCGTTTCTGTGTGCTGCTCTGGTTCACCAGAAGCGGCTTAGTCATGCTGGCCACATGACCGGGAAAACTGTCTACAGACAAACGGCTACCTCGGCCAGTAAAGCAAGATGAGCGTTGCAACCCCAGAGTCGTCCGCGACTGGACTTAACGGTCAGGGGTCCCTTTAACTTTACCGGGCAAGCATATACAGTGGTACATCGGGTTAAGAACTTAATTCGTTCTGGAGGTCCATTCTTAACCTGAAACTGTTCTTAACCTGAGGTACCGCTTTAGCTAATGGGGCCTCCTGCTGCCGCAGCGCTGCCACCGCACAATTTCTGTTCTCATCCTGAAGCAAAGTTCTTAACCCAAGGTACTATGTCTGGGTTAGCGGAGTCTGTAATCTGAAGTGACTGTAACCTGAAGCGTCTGTAACCCGATATACCACTGTATATTTGTGTGTGTGTTTTTCACCCAGCACCATATTTTAGTTTTGCTCTAGGTTTTATGGTCTGCTTTTATTCTGATTATTGTATTTGTGAACTGACTTAGAATTTAGATGAACACTATGTGTTGTATTACAAATAAATACATGTGTGATAACACACACTGTCAAGTTTGCTTTCAGTTTGCAGGAATTAACATATATGGCTGATGATGAACATATTACTGTTCTCTAACACAGGGCAGTGGTGATGGAGACAGATGACTGGACTTAACTGTCCAGGTGCAGTTTTCCTTACAATCAATGGGCCACAATAGTGGCCTTGATCTTCTTGTAATATAGTATTTATCCCAATATATATATTTATAAACCACTTAATATAAAATATCTAACTGGTGGAGTACTGTATATAAAATACATAAGATAAAAATAAATCACAAAACAAAATTACAAAGTACAAAATAAATATTTCATTGTACATTGTATCAGCTGCAATCTAAAAACAATTACAATTTCTAATCTTATCAGAGTTATGTATTTGGTGTACCTGTAGATAAACCTTTCTTGCACCTGGAATATAGTCTGCAATTCTGCCAAAGATCAATCGACCAACTCCTGAAGTAATGCCAAGGCAAAGCAGAAGTGTCTCATCTGGAACATGTTCACCAATACGTTCCTTCACATGGTGCAACTGTTCAGAAACAAAAAGATGACATGAATTCAACAAGAAAATCTACCTTTCCTAATCATAAAACAGATTTTTCTTCATGATGCTGTCAGTCATATTTTTAAAGTTGCCTGAAAGGTCAATTGGTTACTTCTGAAAGAGATTAACATGACAAAAATACAGACAAGTGGAAACAGAGGAAGATGTGGTCTGCTGTTATATTTCTAGACTGCCGCCCATCAAGCCACAGGTAACTGTGGATCATTATCTGTAAACTGGCAAAATATGAGGTCTGCCTTTTTACAGGCAATAAGTACTATCAGAGTGGATAGTTGGCAATGTGATGGCAAATGAAGATTCATAGACTTTAATACTGGATAATTTAAAGTTGTTGTTATGTTGTGTTATGGTAATTACTGGGAAATCAATAAAAATTCATTGTGGGGAAAGTTCATGTCAAAGGGTCTACTCTGAGTATGAATTAATCAGATCCCACCCAAAGACAAAGAACTAGAAGAACTATAAATGTGTACAAAGAAGAAAATGTAGAAAATAAAGATCTAAGATATCCTAAGTGTTATCAAGAAAAAAATAGGGGGGGGGAGTGACTAGATACTATTATTTCACACAATGAGAAATGGTTTAAGAAATAAATAAAGATATGTTGTTGAAGGAAAAAATATTAAAGATGGAAGAATAATACAGAATGAAGAATGTATCTTATGAAGAGTTCAGATGAGTCACAGCACATTTAAAGCCAACAGAATAATACAACCACACTCTCATTACCCCACCCACAAAACCAATTTATAGGTTTGTCAAGAAACATTGCACTGATATGAACTAGGTTTTAAAGTAAAAAATGTAACTTCCTTAGACAGTTGTAAACAAAAAAACAAAAACTGAATGTAAAAGCCTAAATCTTCTGATTCTACTAAGTTTGTGAAGTATGCGACACACTGTATTTTATAATGGCATTATAAAGCAGAACTCCTAATGAAGAGAAGTGTGAAAACTATTTGTTTAGACCTTTTTATTTATGGGTATACACTTTTTGGTACTTAACCCATTAAACAAAAGCATGTTCTTTCCACTCTTTTCCCCCCACAAGGCAAAATGCCTTTATTAGAGAATTAAAGTTCCAGAGAATTAGCGTCTTCCTTCACCACTGCTATTTATAAAAGAAATTATCTGGTGCAAGGTACAGAACACATAGCTGCAATTTAAGCATAGCCAGTGCTGACAAGCCTCAGTTATCTTCAGATGTGCTGTTTACTTCACCCTTTTGCATAATGATAATAAACTTCTCTACTTGGAAGTGCACCCAATTTATTTTTAGTAGGAGTTTATTCCAAGAAAGTGTGGTCATGAATGCTAAACTAAAACAGTTTAAGAATTTGTGGCTTAGGTTACAATACTGTGTCTAGATCTCTGTTTGGCCATCAAGCCAATTGTTCATTGCCTCTCACAGAATTGTTGAAAGGAATAATAAGGGGAAGAGCTATATACATCACTCTAAAGTCCTTGGAAGAGGGATTAAGTAAATCAGAGGTGAGGAATGTTTGACCCTCCAGATGTTGTTGAACTACAATTTCCATCAGCCCCAACAAGCATGGTCAGTAGCCAGATATTATGGGAGTTGTAGTTCAGCAACATCTGGAGGAACTCTGAAGGAAAAATGACAGTTTGTTACCTAGTACACTCACTCTAGACCAAAGAAAGAGTACTAGTAAGGCTAACTGATCCTGAAATATGCTTTTAAATTCCAAAAGGAAGCAAGTGGCACTTCAAATAGACTTAACTTCACCCATATCATAAATCTTGTACCAGAGTCACCCCACAACCAACAGAAGAAAATAACACCACAGTATTATTATTATTATTATTATTATTATTATTATTATTATTATTACCACCCACTTAAGACTACACACAGGAGTCTGGGAGAAGCTTGGTTATATCCTATTAACTACCCAAACTTGGATCATTGTGGTTTTGAATGTACAATGGTTTTTGACAGTACTTCTAAAGTCAGTGATCTACCACTACTGTTAACATCTGCAAGAAATGTACACACACAAAAGCACTAAAGACCCTATTTGTTTTAACTGTTATCATGCAAATGAATCATTTATAAAGGTAACAGTACTCTATACATCTTAAATGCCACTGACTTTATACTATTAGCTGGCGTGTGCCAGTCTCTCACTTCCAGTCTCCACTGGTGATAATTTGCAGCAATTATAACTCCACTTATTTACTCTTCTAGAAGTATATACTCAGTCATTTAGAGAGTGAAAACTAACACAATTAATACTGCTCCCTTATCAACAGTAGGAAATAGAGGGCACCAGAGCTTTGCCGAATTTACCATGGACCATATAGCACGGCTGAAGAACAAAGCATTATTTATACAAATATACAAAAATAAACATTATTTTTCAATTTTCTGTAGGTTTCGTTTCATTTCAAAAAATAAATTTTATTATTATTATTATTATTAGTGTGTGTGTGTGTGTGTGTGTGTGTGGCACCAAAATCTTTTAAGTGCTTAGGGCCTCTAAAGGTCTTAATCCACCCCAGACTACATGCTTTGCATGAAATGTCCCAGGTTGGATTGGGAAAATTTCTGTCTGAAATTGAGGAGCTAATGCCAGGAAGTATATACCAGAAATAAGAAACCTCTGGCCCTCCAGATATTGTTGGACTCCCAATTCCCATCAGGTCCTGCTAGCATGGCCAATGGATGATAGGATTTATAATCCAACATCTGAAAGGCTACAAATTCCCTATACCTGGAGTAAACAATACCAAGACAGATGAACTGACCAGTATAAGGCAGTTTCTAATGTTCTTTATAATGCTGTTTAATGAGAAAATAAGGTGGATTATATATATATATATATATATATATATATATATATATATACACACACACACACACACACACACACACACTGTAATATCAAACACCAGGTACATGTCAACCTGCCCATTTCTGTTCCATTCAAAATTAGCTACTTTGGAATGCTGAACTCAAGACTTTCAAAGTGCATTAATTTAAGGAATATATACTCTTCATGCCCCTACTCATAGCTTATATTTCTGGGGAGTTCAAGAGTGTAATGAAATTGTGTACTAATAGCCACAAATAAAACTGCTGTGATTATAAATACTACATTTAATTAAACATGCTGAGAGACTTCTGTTCCACCCCTTAGCCTTTCCGGTGTCTCAAGATTCTACAATGTCACATATGCTACATGAAAATGCAGGGAGAAATATTCTAGAGCTTTAGACTGAAGAATCATAAATATGTAGATGACACACAGCTCTATTTCTCTTTCCCAGCTGCTAATCCCAGGCAGGCAAGGCCATCCCTATGATGAGGCTCAGGGGGGAGATGCTGAGGTGTGGGAAGGGGCAGAGCTGTGCGTGCCATGTGGCCTGCCCTGTACCCCCTGTGCTAGCCTGCTGCCCTCATCTGTGGTGGAAGATACTGTCCTCTTACCAGTATTGGAGTAAGATTCAACTACCAGTCAAATTGGCTTCTGCCAGTGGCGATCCTTGGGGTCTCAAATTTCAATAATGCCCTGTGCGACACCAAAATATGGTGCATACACCCCCACAGGCTCCACACCTAGTGCGACCAAACTGGTTTCACTCCCCTAAATCCACCTTTGCCTTTGCCTCTGCATGTGCCTTGGGGAGGGCACTATCTTTTCCTTTGCCTTAGGCAGCAAAATGTATTGAGCCAGCCTGTAGGCAGGTTTCTGAAGTACTGAACTGATGGCTGGTAGCTAGATTGGACAGAATAAAGGTGAACAAGGTGGATCTTAATTCATCTAATATTGAAGTGTTGTGGGTAAGGAAAGAGACTATTCTGGATAGAGGATTGCAACTGGTCTTGGACAGTGTTGCACGCCTCCTAAAATACTTGGGAATACTCTTGGACTCAGCACAACTTGGGGAAGCTCAGGTAGCTGCTGTGGCCAGAAGTACCTTTCATCAGCTTAGGCTGATCTGACAGCTGTGACGAACTAAAGAGAATGGGCATTGCCACAGTTATCTATGCACTACCGACATCCTAAATTGGCCACTATAATATACTCTGTGTATTATAGAAAACACTATAATACATTCTATAAAACAATATGTTGGGCTACCTTTAAAGACTGTTTGGAAACCTCAACTGGTAAAAAATGTGGCCACAACTCCAGGCTAGAACCAGGTAAGCAGCATATTGAGTTGCATTGAATGTAGCACTAGTAACTCATTCTGTCAGCAGGATTCATGTATATGCAATGGAACTCCCTGCTTACTTGCAGAACCCCTAAATCTGTTTAAGGGGTTATCCCAACTCTCCAGGTGGAGAGGGAGGGAAAGTTCTGTGGTACAAATATAAATCCTTGTGTTAATGGAACAAGTGCACTGAATGCTACCCATTATACAAATATTGCATCAGTTGCACTGATTGCCAGTTGTGTTTCCAGGCCCAGTTTAAAGTGCTGGTCATGACCTTTAAAGCCCTGAACAGTTTGGGATCAGGTAACTTAAAAGGATTGACTATATCCATACAAGTTTGCCTGTACCTTAAGAGGATGTTCTGCTGAGATCCCCACAAGCAAAGTTAATTAGTTTGCCAAGCACACGGGCCAGAGATTTTTTAGCAGTGGATGCAGAATTGTGGAATACTATCCCATTACATATTTGGCCCCATCCCTGGATATTTTCAAGATCTATTTATCTAGTCTTACAAAAACTAACAATGACTGGGAATCTAATTGCCTTGCACCATGCTAGATTTCTTATTTTAATAATATAGGATTATTTTCTTGAAATGCTTTTAAATGTTATTTACCGTATTTTATTGTTGCAGGTTATGTGAACTGTCTTGGGAAGAATTTTACTCTTGCAAGGCAATACAGAAATTATTAAATATAAATGAATGATGACTTTGGAAGTGTGTGTACTCAGCCTTTTCAATAACCCTAAGGTTAATACCATTTATTGGTCCTTTGCAC